AGGTTAAATGTTTTAGATGTGGAGGGTGTCATTACGCGAATAACTGCAAATGTAAGAATGTAGAATGCAGATATTGTTTGAAGTTGGGACATATCGAAAAAATTTGTTTAAAAAAACAAAAAGCAACAAATAAAATCTCAGCAATAAACAGAAGTACAAGTGAAGAAAACATTTTCAAATGCCAAACAGTATCGAGGAATCAACCATTCATAGTCAAGGTGTTACTCAACAACGAGGAATGTAACATGGAAATTGATTCAGGGGCAAGTCATTCCATTTTATCTTATAACCTATTTAAAAGGATTTTTGAAAACTGCAAACTTTTAGAATGCAACAAAAAACTAAGAGACTGTCAGCAGAGACAAAATGAATTGGCTGGCGAACTAAAAGTGAAGGTGAAGTACGATAATAGAAGCAAAAAGTTACCACTAATAACTACAAAAAGCTCAGAAGCAAGTCTAATAGGGAGGAATTGGTTTGCTGATAACCATTTCAGGGATCAATAAAGTTAAAGAGAGCTTGTTTACTAACATTTTCGAGAAGTTCCCGAATGTTTTTGATGAATTGTTAGGAGTTTTCAAAGGGCCTCCAATACATTTACCAGTGGATCCAGAGGTGTCACCGATCCTGTTAAAGGCACGTAAGGATGCTTATGCATTAAAACCCAAGATAGAGGAGGAGTTAGAAAAGTTACAAATGCAGGGCATTTTGGAGCCAATAGAACATCCAAAGTGGACCACACCAATTGTGCCTGTTATTAAATCAAACGGGAAAGTAAGACTTTGTGCAGACTACAAATGCACTGTGAACAAGGCATTAAAGACATACCCGTATCCAATGCCTTCGGTGGGAGACATGCTAGCAAGTTTAGGCGGAGGGTTTGTGTTTGCCAGGCTGGACATGGCACAAGCGTATCAGCAATTAAGTGTCGATGAACAAAGTAGTGAAGTGCAAACAATAATAACACATAAAGGTACGTTTAAAGTACAGCGTCTCCAATTCGGGATAAACATTGCACCACAAATTTTTCAAAGGGTTATGAACACTAGACTCACTGGTGTGCCGGGAACATTTATATACTTGATGACATGTTAATTTGTGCGAAAAACGAAAATGAACTGTACATGCGAGTTTGTGATATCTTAAATAGACTAAGTGAAGACGGACTTAAATTAAATAGAGACAAATGTGTTTTTAACCAGAAAACAATTCAATTTCTAGGTTTTGAAATTGACAAGAGAGGCATTCGGCCAACTGAAGAGAAAGTAAAGGCTATTAGAGAAGTTCCCGTTCCAGAAAATAAACGAGATTTACAATGTTTTTAGGCCTTATCAATTTTTTCCATAAATTTTTGCCAGGTAAAGCAAATATTGCTGAACACCTGCACAGATTGCTGAACAATGATGTAGAATGGTTCTGGATAAGGGACCAACAGCAAGCTTTCGAGGATTTAAAGAACTTACTTACTTCCAAATCAATGCTAATACATTTTAACCCAGGCGAGGAACTAATACTTACATGCGATGCATCACCATTTGGAGTGGGTGCAGTGTTAAGCCAATTAACTGAAGCCAATTAACTGAAGCCAATTAACTGAAGAAGGGGAAGAAGCCCCAATTGCTTTCCATTCCAAAACCTTAAGTGCAGCTCAAAAAAACTATGCACAGCTAGATAAAGAGGCATTAGCCATAATAGAGGGGTTGAAGAAATTTCATAATTATGTGTTTGGAAACAGTCACAATTTACACAGATCATAAGCCATTGCTAGGAATTTTAGGAGAAGACAAGCCCATTCCAGAGACGTCTTCACCAAGATTATTAAGATGGGCATTATTCATGTCAAACTACACTTACAAATTAAAATACCGGCCAGGCAAAAGCGTAGCCCATGCTGATGCTGTAAGCAGACTGATGATAGCGAACAACAAGGAAGACTCACATGTAAGTGTAGGAAATGTCCTTATGATGGAGAACATGCCCGAGAAGACAGCCAATGCTAAAGTAATTACCAACTTATCAAGTAAAGATCGTATTATTTCAAAAGTGATGAATTATACCATGCGAGGTTGGCCAAATGGGAAAATTGCAGAAGAGTTAAAGCCATATTATAGTAAAAGGCTAGAACTATCAGTTTACAAGAATTGCCTATTATGGACAAGCAGAGTTTGCATACCAGAGGCAGCAAGGAAGGAAGTTTTACAAGTATTACATTCTGCGCACATTGGCATAGTCAGGATAAAGGCTAGCCAAGAAACTATCAAGGTTCTGAGAGGGATATTCGCCACACATGGACTCTCAAAAGTAATTGTTTCAGATAACGGTACTTCTTTCACGTCGGCAGAGTTCCAGGAGTTTTGCCTGAGAAATGGAATCAGACATACCACAGTGGCGCCATATCATCCTTCCTCAAACGGACAAGCAGAAAGAATGGTCCAGAGCACCAAGAAGACGCTGTCCAAGGTGGTGGAGGGGGACTGGGCGATGAAACTTTCAAGACTTCTACTGTCACAACATAGTACCCTCGGTCATCTATGCATAGTACGCCTTCAACTGTGACAGGCGTCAGTCCCGCAGAGCTATTATTCAAAAGGAAACTAAGAACGGCCATAGACAGAATCCACCCTGACTTCTGTGAGGAAATGAAATGGAAACAGGAGAGAAAATGCTCATCCAAAAATCCAAGGAAGCTTGACATCAACCAGCCGGTCTTCGCAAGGTCATACAGCCAAGGCCCCAAGTGGATTTCAGCCACAAATACAGAGGTAACTGGACCAATATCTTATAAAGCTGTTACAGACCTTGGTAAGCCTCTCCGAAGACACATAGACCAACTGCAAACAAGAACTCAACCGCTCGAACTCGACCAGAATGAAGAGGCAGTAGCACAAGTTCCCACGGAGGGATCTTCTACAACAGAAGACACCGAAAGTGAATCAACGCACCCTCACACGCAACCAGAAGAGGCAACGCCACCCGCAGAACCGACCAGACTCGTAAGAAACAGGCGTCTGCCTACAAGACTTCCAAGTAGATGCTTAATTTAGGAGAGAGGAGTGTGATGTGTCACTGGCAACAGTGCAATTCTGGAGACGCCACGCCAACAGCAGGAAAGCGGCAGTATGTCGAGTATATCCGAAGGTAGAGCAAGCACGCTACAACCGCGAGTCATACACGGGTTAATTAGGAATTAGTTTGTACCGAATAGGGAATATAGTTGTTAATTGTTACTACGAGTTTCATTACCTCTCCGTGAACACGTCACAAAGTATATTGTAATTATTCCAATACCTAATAAAGGGGGAAAACCGTAGCAAGAGCACTTGTTGAAAATTTTATTTTAATTTACGGTCCCGTAAAGGAAATAAAAACTGATATAGGTACCGAATATAAAAATCAACTAATGCATAATATATGTGATATATTAAATATATCATAAAGAATCGACCCCATATCATCATCAAAGCCTAGGATCCTGTGAAAGAAACCATAGAGTTCTTAATGAATATGTACGAAGCTACATTGATAACTCCCCTACGAATTGGGAACATTGGGTAAAGTATTATTCATTTTGCTACAATACAACACCTAGCACTTATCACCAATATACGCCCTTTGAACTAGTGTTTGGCAGAAAATCAGAACTACCAGAAGTACTATTAGGAAAAACAGTAGATACTTTAAATAATCTAGATGCCTATGAGCAAGAGCTGCGTTTTAGACTTAAACAGCTTTATGGGCTTGTTTATGACAAACTGCAAAATTTATTGAAATTGTCAAAGAAAAACGAAAGTTATCGTATGACAAAAACTCAGGGATTGCGGTTAAGTCAGGAGATCTAGTTATGTAAAACAAATGAGTGAAGAAGTAAATTCAAACCCTGGTACAAAGGCCCTTTTACAGTAGAATCTTGCGACAATGAAAATTGTACAATTAAAGATATAAATGGCAAGTGTACCATAGTTCATAAAAATCGCTTACAAATATTTTATAAATAAATATCTAAGAATTAGTTAATAAAGTATAAGTAATTATGTATTTTAGTGCGATATAGTGAAAAGTGAGCGAAAATAAACAACTTGTGTATAAAAAAAACGTGATGGTTAAGATTATAAACATTATAAACTATAAAAATAAAATATCTTGACCTAGTCAACAAAAGAAATATAATACATTTGCAAACGTGCAAAAATGTATGTAGTATTATAACAATATCGTAGTATAGCGTAGAAAATATATTTTATTTTACATTTAGATTTATTTTAATAATTATTATTAAATATTAAATTAATTAAATTATAATTTTAGGCTATTAATTGTAAGTTTTCGGGTTATTATGGTTTATACTATGTAGATTAGGGTTAGTTGGCAGGGCCGGCGCGAAGTTTTTTGCCGCCCAGGGCGAAGATATTTTTGCCGCCTCCTTTTTATTCAGCAGGAAAAGGAAAAAAAGTATAGTATAATTATTATAGCTTCTAGTACTAGATTTTGCGTTTTCAGACATTTTATACTTCTAATTATCAAAATACCTTAGCAATGCATTGATTTTACAACACACGATCGTGATATAATATTTGTCAATTATTAATTGTCAATTGTCAAACACAAGTATGGATCCGATAAGTGACCGCGGTAGAGCGTGGTCGATCTGGTTGTAATTTTAATATCGAAATAATCAATTTTTGCGGAATCAATTAAAGTTTTAAAGTGATAATCTATATCAAATTCGAAATAAAGTGACAGTGCTAAATATAGTAATAATTTTTATTGCATTTTATTGCAATATACAAAATATATAATGGCAAATACATGTGTTAAATGTACACAGAACATAAATACCAAGTCGCCAGGAATCCAATGCAGTTTTTGTGCGAATTTTTTTTCATGCTAAATGCGTAGCGTTGAATAAAGAACAATTATCTGTATTTACTGATATACAAGGAGTCGTCTATAAGTGCGAGGAATGTCGAGTAAATAATGTAGGTTGTAACACATTTTCGGCTATGATGGCAGCAATAAATAATTTGCAGGAGACAATTAAATCTTTACAGAGTGATATTCAGGCACTTAAACGTAAAGATACTGAAATTATGGAAACTATTATTCAAGAGATGTCAGACCGGCAAAATCGTCAAAACAACTTAATTTTTTACAATGTTGTTGAACTACAAGGAGGAAATACTGGCAATAAACAAGCTGCAGACACAGAAAATGTTATAAATATACTGGGTAGGATTATGCCTAATAATTCTATCCAAAATATAAGATTAGTTAAAAGATTAGGAAAATCCTCATCAACAGGAAAACCTGCACCGTTAAAAGTAGAATTTGAAACTAAGGATGCTGTCTACGCAGTTCTTAAAAATAAATATAAACTTAAGGAGGACAACAGTCCAGTACAAATTTCTACAGATAAAACGGCTATGGAAAGGCAACATTTTAAATCTATTTTGGAAGAGCTTAAGCAACGGGAGGAGAATGGAGATAAAGACTTATTCATAAAGTATATTAACGGAAATCCGACCATTGCGAAGTCAAAAAAGTGACTGTAAAAATTGGACATGTTAATATAAGATCACTAAACAACTGCTTCAACAATTTTAAGGACATAATTTTGGACAATAATCTATCAATAGTTGGTGTATCAGAGACGTGGCTACAAGAAGAAATACCGTCAGAGTATATAGCAATACCAAATTTTAATTTAATAAGACTGGATCGTCTCAGCATTGGTGGTGGTGTCGCATGCTACTTGAACTCAACCTATAAATACAATATTTTAAATTTTTCATCAAGTCAACCTAACCTAGAACAACTTTGGATTAAGTTAATTTTTAATAAACAAAAGTTTGCCTTAGGCATTGTTTATAGACCACCTAGTGCAACTTTAGAGATATTCATAAGTGAATTGTGTGATGTTCTAGAGCGCGTTTGTTTGGAAGTGGATTTTATTATTCTAATGGGGGATATAAACATTAATATGTTAAATACTGTAAATATTCATTCTAAAAGTTTTAATAATCTTTTAAATATTTTTGATATGCGTCAAATAGTTAATGGTCCCACTAGAATAACTGAAAACACTGAATCCTTAATTGATGTAATGTGTTTGTCAAGTGATTTGTTTTTTGACAATTGTAAAATAGTTGATATGGAAGGAATATCTGATCATATGTTAACAACTTGTGAGATAAATGTGGATAAGGAAATGGTAAGCAAGGAAATAATCTATTATAGGCCCCTAAATAATATAGATTTAAACAGCTTTGCTCTTGATGCAGTATACAACATACCTTGGCATCGTGTGGGCGAGTATGAGAACTTAAATGAGAAAGTTGATCTTTTGAATAAAATGATTATCGAGCTCTTTGATCGACATGGTTTTTCTCCAAAACAAAAACACCGTCCCTATATAACTTATAATATTAGAGAAATAATTAAGAACAAAGCTGAAGCTCATAAAAAATATTTAAAGAATAGATCGGAAACTAATAGACGGTATTTTGTTGAATTAAGAAACTATGTAAATGATGCTATAAATCGTGAAAAAAAGGCTTTTATGCAGTATGTCATATCTAGAAATATCAATAAACCTAGACAACTTTGGAAAAACTTTGCGCAGTGGGGTGTGTGTACTAAGTCTAACCTTAAGTGTAATTATATACCAGATCAACTTTGCTTTCCTGAAGATATCAACGATTATTTTTTGAATGTGGCTGGAGAATCAGTTGTGGATAAAAATAACAAATTATGATATTTTTAAAGCTATAAACTCTATTAAATCTCAAGCCACTGGAGCAGATATTAGTTTAAAAATGATTAACTTAATTTTACCCTATTGTATAGATGTAATTAACGAAATCCTTAATAAATCTTTGGATGAGGGAATATTTCCTGATACTTGGAAAGTTTCTAACATCATTCCATTATCTAAAGTTGCTAACCCAAAGACATTTAATGAACTCAGACCCATAAGTATTCTACCAGCATTCTCAAAAATTTTGGAAAAAATAGTTGGCCTTCAGGTTAGCAAATTTTTAGAACAAAATTCAATATTACCTTCTGTACAATCTGGATTTAGAAAAGGACATGGTACGCACACTGCTCTGCTTAAGGTTACAAATGATTTAATATCTAGTTTTGATAAATCACTTAGTTCAATTTTGGTTTTACTTGATCAGAGTAAAGCTTTTGATCTAGTTAACTTTGATTTAATGTTAGCCAAGTTGCAATACTTAGGTTTTGACAAAGCAACACTTGCCTGGTTTCAGAGCTACTTGGTTGATCGCAAACAAAAAGTAACTATTAAAAATAAAAATGCCATATGTTCGAAACTAAAAAAACCAAATCAGGTGTGCCTCAAGGCAGTATTCTGGGTCCAACTTTGTTTTTGATATATATTTTTGATATGACGGACTGTATTTCACAATGTTCAATTCATCTATATGCAGACGATATACAATTATATATTTCGTTTGAAAATGCTGAAGCTAATCTAGCCGTCAATTATGTAAATAAAGATATAGATAGCATATGTAAATATTGTAAACAACACGGTTTGCGATTGAACCCTCTCAACCCTGCACTTTCTATAGGCAATGAAAAACACAATAGCGTATTTAAAAGAAACTACAATTTAATTTTAGATGGCGTAAATATTAGCTGGGTGGAAAAAACTAAAAATCTGGGAATAATATTCGACGAACAACTCTCTTTCTCGCATCAAGTTAATTATATATTTAAATGCTGCTTTTTAAAACTAAGAAGTTTGTATAAATTCAAATATATTTTTGGGGATAAAACCAAACTAAATTTGATTAAGGCGTTGGTCATTCCTCACATTGATTATTGTTCCTTTGTTTACTATTTCTCTTTACCACAATATAATCAGCTAAAACTCCAGCGAATACAAAATGCGTGCATTCGCTTTGTCAGAAATGTTCCATTCAGAGATCACATAACCCCTTACATTGTCAATTTAAACGAAATGAAAATTGAAAACAGAACAAACTACTTGGCAACAATATTTCTTTACAATTTACTTAAAAATCAAAAGCCTTTATATTTGTACAATTTGCTTATAAGGAGATCTGATGTTCATACAGTTAATGTTAGACATAATACTTTTAACATTCCACAGCATAACACTCATAAATTTGAGGGATCATTTGTATATGTTGCGTCAAAACTATTAAATAGAGTAATTCTGAATATTAATTTAACAGAGAAAAACTTTTTAATTTTTGTTAAAGATTATTATTTAAATTTTTATTGATTCCATATATATATAAATATATATTGTTAATTTTTAATTTTAATTTTTGTACACAATTAAAATAAGGAGACGGTGGAAGATAGGGAAACCTAACCGTCCTCCTATTGTATGTAATTTAAGTACCTACAATAAAGCATATTTGATTTGATTTGATTTGATTGAAAACTACAGGATATGATTGAAGAACAAATGAAAGAGGGCACAGGGTTGTCTTTCGATAGCGCCTCTATTAAATCTTTGTAACAAAGATATCAAATTTTTTCTACTCCTATTAAGGAATATGACCGTTCTAATATCACTTTTATTTATGGAATGATATATATTCCGTATAGTGTTACAGAATGAAATATTTTATCATCGGATGACAGAATAAACACTCGTGGCGACATCTCTGTTTTTAATATCAAACAAATTTTAGACCGATCCAACCTCACTTTCTTCCAATTAAATTATTTTTATATGGTATTTTTTGAAAACGTAGAAAAAGTATAGTCTGAAACACGTTTGGAATTGCATATTCCGCTCTAGTGAAACCGTCAAACTCGCCTTCGGCTCGTATGACAAACTCTTCACTCGAGCGGAATATGCTGTATTCCATGTTACAGAATATACTATTCTAAACTGCATTTCTCGAGCGTAATTCTTGAAAAAATCGCCAATCGAAAAAATTTCAGTATGTTGAATGAAATTGATTATCATTAACACATCTTAAAAATGCCGCCCCCCCATTCTGCCGTTCTGGGCCGTTGCCCGGTTCGCCCGTACCTCGGGCCGGCCCTGTTAGTAGGTAGTATGTAAAAATAGTTTTAAATTAGGTCAGTGCTTTATAGGTATTTGTCAAGAATGAACTTCATTATTGAGCAAAATGAAGTCCATTCTCATAAAGGAGGGCGGTGTAGTGCCCCGTGTACGCCTATGTATTGTGCTCAAATTAGGACGACACGTGGCTAAGACATCAACCTTTTAATTGTGTAACTACTTAAGTGTTTCATGACTATTGCAATATTGCTGAGTAGGAATATACCTATTACCAAATAAATATTACACACTTGTAGTACAGAGCCGAATAAAGTAACATTGTTAAAAAAGCACCGAACGTCTTTACCTTTAATAAGCCCCCAAAATAAAGGCGCATCACAGTAATATTGAATTGATTTCACCATTAATTGAAAAACGGAAAAATTTACAAAATAAAAAAAAGTAGTAGATTTTAATGAATCAGTAGTAGGGTAGTAGAATACAAACAAAAGTATTAGAAATACTACTTAAGTAGTAGCAATGGCAACCCTGTCCATAAAGGCAGACTCAGAGAACATAAGAGAATTAAAAGCGCTGTAGTCAAGTGGCAACAAGCATTGGTTGATTTATATATCTAGCAGGCTTGGAAAACCGAGTTGTTTTTCTCGGCGGGAAATTTGAATGTTTGGGAAATATAACCAAAAATTGTTTAAATTTTATATTTTTTTGATTTTAAAAGGATTATATACATAATATTGGAAGTGGAAAAACACAAACTTTTGTTTTTTAATAAATATATTTGACAAAATTAACACTTAATTCAATTTAAATTAAAGTATAACTAACAAATAATATTTAAATGAAGAGAAATTCAAAGTTAATTTTCTATAACTTTTAGTGAAATCGCTTGATTACAGCGATAATTACACTCTTATATATGCCTACAAGACAATTATCGCGATAATTGTCTACTAGGAATCGATAATTCCATTGTATCTACGTGTGCATGGCAATTAATAAAAATAACGTCAGTTTTTATTTTAATGTGACAGTTATTTCAAATGTCACGTTTTGGTAAAGAATCATTTGATTCAATTAATGAAAATGTGAAAAATAGTGTTAAAATATTTGAACATGTTATTCTTTGATTTAATTATAATTACTATACTACTATAACTATAGTTTATTTGTGTAATTATCTAAACAAATTACACTCGTGCATAAAAATAATCAGATAATTTTGCATTCAAGAATATTGCATTTAAAAAATGCATTCGGTGATTTTCATATTTTCTAAAATATGAAAATGAACTTATATATTTTTTAGGCAATATGCTTTCAAGCAAAATTATACATAATTTTTAAGCACTTGTGTAATTACCCCCGATAATTTTCAGAAATTTTAATTTTGTGCCACATAATAACAATTGTTGTAGGTATTTTAAGATTTCTTAATGCAAATGCAAAGGTTTATTAAACAAATTAACTCTAAAATATATTACAAACCATCAAAATAATTGATAAATTCTTGAT